GTTTCAAATGATTGGGTGTCATTTCTACTAATTTCGTATATGCTTCACTTTATTTTCATTTGTATGCACATGAAAATGAACTAATGAAAGTTTTCATTATATTTTGTCCCAAATATCGGCATAAAATTCACGATATAATGACCAACACTATTGTTCTATGAGTAAATTGTATTAGATTTAATTATGAACGAAAGTAAGTCAATTTCATTATATTCTAATTATGAGATAAGATATTCAATAAGTTGGCTTGTTTAACTTGTGTAAGTCGTCTAAAATGTTCCAAGTCTTATCGACTCGTTTTAGAGTGAAATAAAGGCCTATGACCCAAAACGGCATGATATCAATGAAAATGTTAGGTGTCATTTCAATTATTTTTGTTTTCATTTCACTTTATGTTCACTCGTATCTATATAAAATGAATGAACGCAAGTTTTTACTACATTTGAATAGAAAATCCGTAATCTAAAACGCTACCGTTTTAAATGATTGTGTCATTTCAACTAATTTGATATCTGCTTCACTTTGTTTTCACTCGTACGCACATGATAATGAGCGAATGGAAGTTTTCATTACATTTGGACCTGAGTATCGATATAAAGTTCACGCGATAGTGACCAACAATATTATTTCACAAGAAAATTACACTAGACTTTACTACGAACGAAGATAAGGAACTACAATTCCATTATATTTTATTATGAGTTAAAATACTTAATAAATTAGTTCGTTTAACTTGTAAAAGTCTTTCTTTTGTATTATTCACGTCCATAACTACTTCAAAGTTTAATGATGAAAATTTCAACTACATTTCAACGTTATCATCGACACATTGATTCAAACTATAGCAATTCACTCTATGATCTGGTTAGAAACTACACTATGTGACACTTGATAATAAAGAATAATGTAAGTAACAAATGTGGTATGCAACACATAGTACGTATAGTCGTTCAATGTGTACAAGTCATGTATGATACTTCAAACATTGTTTTACTAGTTTCGGAGTGAAATCGATACCTCGTGACTCAAAAAGGCATATGGTCATTTTAAACACATGAGTGACGTTTCTACTCATTTCGTGTTCGTTTTGGCTTATTCACGCCCATACCCACTTGAAAGTTTAGGGATGGAAGTTTTAACTACATTTTATTGACACATTGGTTCAAACTATAGCGAGTCACTCTATAATCGGTTAGAAACTATACTGCACTACACTTGACAATAAAGAAAAATGTAAGTTGCAAGTATGGTATACAAAACATAGCATGTGTAATCATTCAATATGTAAAAGACATATATGATGTCTCAAACACTATTTTACTAGTTTCGAAGTGAAATCGATATCTCGTTACCGAGAATGGCATCTGATCGTTTTAAATGTATGGTTATCGTTTAGGATATAGGGTTTAGGGTTTCGGGCTTACGGTTTAGGATATATGGTTTAAATGTGTTGGTTGTCGGTTAATTTTTCAACATTTATAGTCTTAGATGATATTCCAAACATTGTTTTACTAGTTTTGGAGTGAAATTGAGACTCTTTGACTCAAAACGGCATATTATCATTTTACTCATAAGGATGCCATTTAGGGTATAGGGTATAAAAAACATCGAACACGTAATCATTCAACATATATAAGTGAAATCCGGACCCTACTACCCAGAACGACATGTGATCATTTTACAAGTATGATTGTAGTTTAATGTATACAAAATATAGCACGTTTCAAACTAAAATCGACCTGTCACCTAAAATGTTGATAGTTCTATTTGTTCGGACCTTAAATGACATCTTGTCGCTTTAAATGTATGGGTGTTGTTTCAGGGTTAGGTTTTAGGGTATAAATAAATAACACGTACAATCATTCAATATGTACAACGTATCTAGAATGTTCTAAACATTGTTTTTACTAATTTTGAAGTGAAATCGAGAACATGTGACCCAAAATGGCATGTAGTCATTTTAAACGTATGTGTATCATTTTTACTAATTTCATGTTCATTTTGCTTCATTCTCGCTCTTATTCACATGAAAGTGTAAAAATAAATTTTTTAACTAGATTTAGATGTCACAGTCTACACAAAGTTCAAACTATATTGAGTCACGTCATATATTTGATTGGAAACTAGACTAAGTTTGACTACAAAGGAAAATGTAACAAGTATGGTATATAAAACATAGTATGTGCAATCATTCAACTTGTACATCTTATCTATGATGTTCGAAGCATTTGCTAGTTTTGAAATGAAATCGAGAGCCTGTGACCCAAAATGGCATGTCGTTATTTTAAACGTAGTGTATCATTTTTGCTAATTTTATGTTCATTTCACTTCATTCTCACTCGTATCCATGTGAAACTGTAAGAATGAAAGGTTTAACTAAATTTGGATATCAAGTACCGGATTGACTAGTTTTGGTGTGAAATTGAGACTTGTGACCCAAATTGACATGTTGTCTTTTCAAAAGGCTATGTATCATTTTAGCTAATTTTATGTTCATTTCACTTTATGTTCACTCATATCTACATAAAAATTAATGAATCCAAATTTTCACTATATTTGGACGCTTCAATCAATACAAAGTTCACATGATAACAGTACCAACACTACTGTTTCGTGAGTAAACTACACTAGGATTTACTATGAACGAATGTAAGTAACTCAAATTTTGTTATATTCCAATTATAAGATAAGATATTCAACAAATCAGCTCATTTAACTTGTACAAGTCTTGTAAGATGTTCCAAAATATAATCGACTAATTTTTGAGTGAAATAGAGACTCTAGAACCCAATGCGGCATAAAGTCTTTTTAAACATCTATGTGTTGTTTTAACTAGTTTCACTATCTTGTATTGATGAATTTAATAAAGTTCGAATCAACTTCGTTACTAGTATAAATATACTAAATTGCTTGTCAATGTATCAACCTCTAAGTAACAACTTTTGGTTGAGCAAGGTTCCAAAGGTAAAATATTTAAAATTCAACTTGTTTCACTAAATTCTCTCAATGTAAAGCCTCAATGGTCAAAATTGACTCTTTTCATACTAGAACACATTAGCCAAACTTTGCTTACCACTTTCATACAAGAAAGAGACATCAATTTTTCAATATTTTTGTACTTTCATTTCTTTTCCCATATCTTGTATGACTCAAGCAATTTTAACGATCATTTGAATCAAAACCATCCTTCAAAATCAAGGTTTGATGACTAAAAATTTTCATTTCAAAACATTGAAAACAAAGATACAACACATAAAATAGGTAGGGAACATCCGCTACATTTTTCTTAAAATTTATTTCAAACCTTGAGGTAGAAATAGTCATTCCCAAGTCCAGACTATGCACATTTTAATTTCCCCATATCTTGTATGACTCAAGCAATTTTAACGATCATTAGAATCAAAACCATCCTTCAAAATCATGGTTTGATGACTTAAAATTTTCATTTCAAAACATTGACATCTCATCTCAATCTTCAATTTCTCAAAAACAAAATTACATCAAGAAAATAAAACTATACCTCTAAAACTTAATTTAAAACAAACTTCTTGATAACAATACAACACGAACCAAATATTAATTTGTACAATATGTGAAACTAATAGTTTAAAACTTATCATGGATGAATCTTAAGCTACATCTAGCCTCCACAAAATAACTTAACCAGCCCATTTTCTACCCATCAAAATTGTTGAACAAATCTTTCCAAAGTAGTATTACTAGATGAAAGGCAAACATAATTGATTATATTGTAAATCTCCAACAAAAATTGAAGAACCTAGAATGTCATATAGCTTCGAAAACTACTACCATGTGGTTTTGGGGACTAGAGAAGACCAAACATAGTCTGAATCCACTTTTAGCTGAAAATTTAACAAAAAAAAAAAAGATTGATGGTTAGCGTCATTGCCTCGCAAAAAAATTAGTTGGCTATAGGAGAAGGCACTACAAACATACATATGTAATGTAAAGAATCACACTGCAAATTGTTCTTTACAATGAATAACATCTACTCATCATTCCTAAGTTATTCTTTGAATCATTTTCACTCATTCCTAAGTTCCTTTCTTTTGTAACATCCTATCATAGACCATGAAAAAGTAAGAAGTAATTAACAAGTGACTGCAGTTTAAATAAAACAAATATAATCTGCATATTAAGCTATAAGATTTGGTATAAAAACCAACTCCCAAAAAAAATAAGAAACTATGCTTGAACAAAATGTAATTCATTTGATCTCTTTGGGAAAAATAAGAAATTATAGTTAATTTCATGCCAATGAATGGCCAAACAAAACAAAGTTTTAGGATGCACTCAATGGTATCCCAAATGCATAATCTAAAAGAAACTGTATAATAACAACGTGACATTTCAAAATAAAACGGAAATACGAAACTCTGTAATTCTCACCTAATGTAGCTGAACCAAGCACCCACTAAGCCAAATCATGTGAACTCGGAGGTCCAAAATCCTAAAAGGGATAAATTCTGAATTGCATTCAACCTTCTTCACAACCGCTATTCATTTATTCTTGTAGTAGATATCAATGTTGTGCTTTTTTTCAAAATCCTCCACAATCTTTGATGGTAGTGGCTGTTGGCCTCCCAGTATTCAAAATAGCAAATCGGGTCTATTATCATCCACAAATAGAGAATTGGTATTTCATATACACACTATTATATTACAAACATACCTAAGAAGAATGATGAAAGAGATGATGAATTTGAATGTGATAGGAAGGAGACGAGATTTTAATTTGGGAATGGATGGGTACTTTAAATTTTGTTATTTTGTTTTGCTTTAAGGGTGTTTTAGACAATTTGTATTTTTAATATTAAAATATTTATTTTAATTTTAATATTTTGGTCAAAGCTATTTTTCCAAACAAACATTGTAAATAGGCTATTCTACCCAATTTCCAATATATATATATATATTCGGAGACGATATTTTGTAATGTACAAAATTGGACTCAATCTCACTGCAGAGAATCCTTCCTTATCTAAATGGCTCCTTAACGCGCTTTTCTCAAACTTCATTTTTATATTGCCAAAGTTTTCTGTCTCTACACGTAAGCATTTCTTTACCCAATTAAAATGTCGGCAGCGGAAGTTCCCGGCGGCGGCGGCGGCGGCGGAGGCGGCGGCGCACAACAATATTACTGCTACCAGTGTGAGCGCACCGTCACCATCACTCCCCCGGCATCGCCCACCACCGAGCTCGTTTGCCCCAATTGCAACGGAGGCTTTCTTGAAGAATCCGACACCGTACCGCCCTCAAACCCTACCAACCCTAATGATAACCCCAACCAATTTTTCTCTGAAAGTTTCCCCTCAGCGCCCTTCAGTCGCCTTCCCATTAGCTTCTCCTCAGCCACCGGCAACCCACGACGCGCCGCCTTTTCTGTCCGCGGTGGAGGTGGAGGATTAAACGATCTTTCTGCTTTGTTTGGAGGCTCCCGATCCCCTGATGAATTTAACCCCTTCGCCTTTCTAGACCAGTACCTGAATGGTCTCCAGGAGCGTGGTGCGAACGTTCAGCTTGTTTTTGAGGGGCCAGGTGGCGAAGGGATGGGCCGTGGGGTTGATTTTGGGCTACCTACGAATCTCGGTGACTATTTTTTTGGGCCGGGGTTGGAGCAACTGATTCAGCAACTTGCAGAGAATGATCCCAACAGGTATGGAACCCCACCTGCATCAAAGTCTGCGGTGGATGGATTGCCAGATATAAAGATATCGGTTGAGTTATTGGGAACAGATTCATCACAGTGCGCCGTGTGCAAAGACAGCTTTGAGTTAAACGAGGAAGCAAAGCAGATGCCATGTAAACATATCTACCATAAAGATTGTATATTTCCTTGGCTTGAGATGCATAATTCTTGTCCAGTTTGTAGATATGAGTTACCAACTGATGACCCAGATTATGATCGAAGAACCAGGCAAGTGAATGATAATAGCAGCAATAGTAACAATATTAATTTAGGCATGGCCTCAGGCAGCGGAGATCAGGAGATTGGCGCTAACAATAATAATCAATTACCTAGAACAATGGAAAGGGGGTTTAGGATATCACTGCCATGGATTTATAGAGGGCTTGGTTCACCAGCAGAGACAAGCAACATCGGAGGTGGAGCTGGCAGTAACCAAGGAGGGAGCAACAGCAACAATGATAATAGTGGGGCATCAAATGCAGGCTCTGGAGGGGGAGCACAGGCTAGAGAGGAGGACCTGGACTAGAGTATGTCAATTATGTACTTCTAAATATTTTCATTCACTTTTGTGTTGAATTGATTTTCTTTTCTATTATATCTATATCTTCGATTATAACGCAATTCGCTTGAACTGTACTAGGGAAACTGGAAATGAGTATTAAATTTGAATATCATATGAGAGGTTAAATAATTTAATGACCTTGCTTCCTGGAAAACACAGTGGGGGTCAACCTTTTACCTTCATCTTTACAAGGCATCAGACAGTTTTGCTATCCTTTGGGAAACCGAATTTTCTGATCTCAATCATAGCTCATATTACACGAAAGGAAATGCATGAGCTAATCCCGGTTGGCTTACTTTTTGCATGGTTGAGAAATGCGTGTTGATCAATTACTGTCACAAAATGTGCATTTATGAGCCTTCTGGGAAATTCTCGCCCTTATCTGCCATCTGTCTCATTAAAATGTTATACCATTGCTGTCGGTTTTGCAATTAATGCACACATTCTTGTCTTTATGCCCAATTTTCTTGTCTCATTTCTTTTGATGACTGACTTTTAAACATGCTGTCAAATTAGTTTGTTTGTTCACTAAATTTACTCATTGTCGTTTTCACAGTCAAGTCCGTGGCTGTTAAAACGGTCACGTGCATTGAATTTTCAATGTACATGATTTGTAACTCAAAAAGTGTTGTAACAGATCGATTGCAGTGATCTTCTGTGGGTAAGTCCCATTTTGAACTTTTCCTTTCGACGTGATTCTAAAACTGATACAAACTTCATGTCGAAGCCAGCCCTTGGTTCACTTTTCAATTTACATTCAACTGATGGATTATCAAAGCTTTCACATTAATGACGCGAATGCTGACTTTCCATTTGAAATAAGAAACTATTCCCTAAAAGTAATTGCATAATTGAGTAGGGGCTCATAGTTACATAATATTGGTTTGGATACCATGCTTTTTATTCGGCTTTTTTGTGCTAGAACTTTGGCATCCAGCCCTGAGAGAAATAAATGAATTCCAAAGATCTTGGTCAAATCCAAATTTTTCGCGCTCTTGCTACGGTTAAATTATCCTCTTTGTCCGCTAATAACCAATCTATCCAATTTGATCAACCATTAACGAGTAATCCTAATGCGGACGGATTTGGGCCCGTAACCCCTGGATGCCAAAGGCGTCCTTGTGGTGTGGTGATTTTAAAATCTAGCCAAGCAGAATGCCCCAAGGGTGCCTTTGGCATCCAGCGTTCACAACCTATTGGGTATGGGAGGTTATTCCCATCTTAAACTGGAATCATTGATTTATAGAGTTGTCAGCAGGTCCATAAAAAAAATGCAGCCAAAGCTTGACTCAATGATTATTTTCATTTTATTGTATATTTGACCAGTTGACAAAATCAGTTTATTTGGTATTGTTTCTCCTCGATTCCTAGCATGACAATATAGATTCTCAATTACGGTGATCTGAGGCAATGAACTGTGCATTTAGTTTAATAATTGAATTTTTTTTTGGTCATGGTCTTAAATTTATTACTGTACATAATGAAAGCTTTTGCGTTTGCTTAATGTTTATATAAATGCTTTCAGAGAGGATATAAAAAGGTTGAACACAGTCTATTTATGGATGATCTATTGATGAACATGAGAGAATCACCAAATGATTATTAATCAATATGCTCAATTAAAGATGTGCTGAATAGCGCCAATTAAAGAGGTGCTTTTTCTGGGGTTCTGTGGATGGTGCCTTGTTCTAATTAGTGCATGTTGTTTTAGTTTATTTCCCGTGTCTTTAACATCTTTACAAGGACAATTTAGAATTTTCGGAATGGATAAAAACTTGTTTATAAACTTGTATGGTTGACAAAAGCATTCGGTTATTTTGATTAATAAAAAGTTTGAAGAACTTTGGATCCTTTCTCGATTTCTTTATTGATCGTAATTCAACATTTTTACTAATCAACGAATTAGCAATCAAAATCAATTATTCGTATAATCAACAAAATATTCATTGGTCGATTCCTTGTATTCCTTAGGAATTAACGAGCTTTGATCATGGGTTTCCATATTTCTCACATCGCTTTGCATGATTTATGATTGAAAGGAGCTCTTATATACTAATTTGTCCCTTTTGAAGATATGCCAGATTAGCTTTAGAAGGCAACTACTAAAGCACTTTAAGTGAATGATTAGAAATTGTTTTGCTTGAATTGATTCAAGATTAGTTTGAGAAGAACAAAGATTTTAAAATGAAAGAGGTATAGGGGCGTCGTGGGTGATGTAAGTAGGTACTGACTAATAAATTTAGTTTGAGTATTTGAGATTTTCTAGAATTTTAGGCTTTGGAGATAATTGATTAAGTTTTTTTATTCTGGTTGTTTGGGTTTGAATGATATTATTCTAGAGGATTACATTTATGGCATTGTACTTATATATTGGTTGCACCTGCTTTTTCAAGAGAAAAATTTAAGTCTGAACTAAGTTTTTGTGTATTTCGTATTCTGATATCTGGAGAATTTTTGGATGAGCTTTCGAATTGTATCAGGAGGTTGTCATGCTTAAGTCCATGGTCCCTCCATGCTTTTTCAGATGCCCTCTGTGCTTTCTTAGGAAAAGGAAAAAGTGGAATCTTTGAGACAATAAATTTAGCTTCATCAGTTTGAGATAAGTGGAATCTTGAAGACAAGAATTTTAGCTTCATCAGTTTGAGATAAGTATCCTGACCATACAAGTGTCACGCGCGCGCACAC